AGTGCTGTAGAGGGCAGCCATGGCCGAGGTGTCCACCCTCACCCCGTCTCCTCCGGCGATGGCAGAGCAGCCAGTTTCCTCGCATTCTCTCCCTTCAGAGTCCCCTAAAACCACCCCCATCCCCAAATCCGCTCTGTATGGGGACAGGGCCGTGATGGGCAACCCCACGTTACCGACTGGACTCAGAGAAACCACCATTTCTCTGTCGTCCTCTGCGGAGGTCACTGCTGCTCCTGCCTCCCCTTTTCCTACAAATTCAGAGAGCGCCGCTGCTTCACAGGCAGAAGTGACCGCAGGTACGGAGAGTGGAGCGCCAGGAGCTGCTTCTGAGGCGTTAAAGCAGCACAGCGTTGTCAATGAACCACAAGAAACAGCAAAAGAACGACAGATGCCATCTTCTCCAGGACCTAATCCCAGCCCTAATCTCCACCCCAGTGCGCAGGCTAATAATCCCACAGCTTCTCCAGACGCCCCTCCCCATTATCCTCCCCCTCCTGTACCTACGGCTTCAGAAAAAACGGAAAATACAGAAAATGGCTCGGGCCCAAACCCCGCAATCTCAAATCCGCCACTAGAGGGCGATAAAACATCTCCAGAAGCACAAATAATAAAGCAGCCGGATCAGAACCCAAACCCTGTTCCATTTCAGGACCCCAAGCCGAGCACCCCAAGCTTCAAAGACCCCCCAGAGTCCCCCTTCTCCCTCTCCAAAACCGAGCCTCCGTCTCTTATTGTGCACGATTCGTCGGCTTCTCTCGTCCTACCCCCCACTTACTCTCGCCCCGCTCCGGACACGCTCAGCTACCTGGAGTCGGCCAGCATGATGTCCGGCACGCTGGAGTCACTGTCCGGCCTGGGGGAGGACGGCAGCTCCATCGGCTCGGATTCCGAAATCAACGGACAGATTCTGAGGCGGACGGATAAATACGGCTTCCTCGGAGGAGCGCAGTACACCGAGGGCAGGTAGGTGGCGCTATAATTCAGTAATGTTTACCAGCTGATATTTTATCCAAACTTTATTTAGTTTTATTTAACCCTCCTGTTATGTTCAACTGTAAGGAACGGCAATAAAGTTCCGGTCAAACTTTTATGATGCTGTGTTTAACCATCATAAACATGATCTTTAGCTCAATTAATATCCATTTAATCAAGTTTTTAACCCGTTACAGGTTTAGTTACAATAATTCTCTCATTCTTTCATTAAAAAAAATCAATATAGCAATTTTTTATGTTGGAAAACAACATCAGAATTTTATTTTGGTCAAAATATGAAGGCAGACTTTGTTCAGTGTTATTGATTATAGCGATTCTGCCGTTTCACACTTGATGTGAATTGCTGCTCTCAGGTCAGTGTGTCATTGTCCACCCATGCATTTGCAGCTGTTTCACTTGTGTGTGGTCTTTGGCTCACAGCTCAGGCTGTATGTAGACCCCACAGGACCCCCACCCCCCACCTGAATATCCAGGCCTGAACTCTGTTGTGGCTGCACTAATTGGTAATTACAGATACAGTACAGAGTCTGGCTGTGGCCCCTCAGAGTGACGAGACTGAGATACGCCGCGTTATCAATAATTCACACACAGCCAGGTTCAGAACTCGTCTCTGCGTCTCTCCTTCACCTGGTCTCTCCATCTCCTCATCTCTTCGTCTCTACGTCTCTCCATCTCCTCATCTTTCCATAACCTCGTCTCTCCAACTCCTCATCGTCTCCTCACACCTTTATTCTGTCCCATTCTGTCTCTCTCTCTCTCTCTCTCTCTCTCTCTCTCTCTCTCTCTCTCTCTCTCTCTCTCCTTCATCTCTCGCTCTTCCTCCGTCTCTCTTTGCTGTCTCTCTCACTGCCTTCGCTCCACCTTCTCTCTTTTTTCTTTCTCCCTCTCTTTCTGTCCTTTTTGTTTTTTTTCCTCTCTTTCTACCTCCATCTGTCGGTTTCTCTCTCCTGTTCTCTTTCTGTTTCTCCCTCTCCCTCTCATCTCCCTCTCCCTCTCTCCATCTCTCTCTCGTTCTGTCCTTCATCTCTCCTCTCTGTGACTCACACATTGCTGAGAGCTGTTTTCTGACTCACTGTCTCTGTTTCTCTCTCTCCCTCTCCCCCTCTCTCTATCACACTCTTATCTCTGAGTGAGTGATGAATGTGCTTTCCCGCTCCGCTCTTCCTTTTAGCCTGTTTTACTCCCATAAACCTTTGCTTCATGGTGATTAAAATTCCTTTGTTGTCTTGTTCCTGTGTTGAAAATTAACCCTGCCGCTACAGTTTTCCTCAGCGAGTAACAGACAGCGTAAACAGGCAGCAGCGACAGAAATATATTATAATATAATATTTAATATATAATACTTAATTTATAAAACAGTGTTTCAGCAGAAATTCATTATTCTGTAATGATTGACACATTCCTTAAAAATAATGCCGTCTGTACGGTCCTGATTTTTGTTTTTATGTCCCCAATATTAAAACCAAATCTTCGTTTACATCTCTCTCTCTCTCTTTCTCTCCCTTTCTTTCTCTCTCTCTCTCCCTTTCTCTTTCTCTTTCTTTCTCTCTCTCTCTCTCTCTCTCTCTCTCTCTCTCTCTCTCTCTCTCTCTCTCTCTCTTTCTCTTTCTCTCCCTTTCTCTCTCTCTCTCCCTCTCCCTTTCTCTCTCTCCCTCTCTCTCTCTCTCCCCATCTTCCCCTCTCTCTTTCTCTCCCCCTCTCTCTCCTCTCTCCCTCTTTCTCTCCTCTCTCCCTCTTTCTCTCCCCTCTCTCTCTTTCTCTCCCTCTCTCTCTTTCTCTCCCTCTCTCTCTTCTCTCTCCCTCTCTCTCTCTTTCTCTCCCTCTCTTGCTGTCTCTCTTTCTCTCCCCATCTCCCCCCTTTCCCTCTCTCCCTCTCTATATTTCCCTCCCCTCTCTCTTTTCTCTCCCTATCTCTCTCTCTTTCTTTTCTCTCTCTCTCTCTCTCTCTCCCTCCCTCCCTCTCTCTCTCTCCCTCCCTCTCTCCCTCAGTGAGAAGGAGATCAGTGTGGACGTGGCGAGGCACAGGGAGATGAAATGGTTGGACATGTTCCGCAACTGGGACAAATGGATCACTCGACGCTTCCCTAAGGTCTGTTCATTATTAACCCATTAAACTGAAAAAAAGAAAATGACATGATTTTGCACGACTCCATGAGAGAGAGGAGTAGCTGTTGATTCATCTGTCAGACGGTGTTTGTGAGGACTTTGAAATGAAACAGTAGAAGCCATATCGCCCCCTACACTTACTGTAGTGTATTACAGTCTGTCAGAGTGACTGTGTGGATCATATGAACATTATAGAGGCTTTTTAAATGAAACAGTAGAAGCCATATCGCCCCCTACACTTGTTGTCAGCTTCCTCCATTAGTATCATTACTTATACTCATATCTTCAGTATTTCTTAATGAAAAACTGACGGTCTGTTTAGGTTGTGTTTCTGTTTTGTTTATTTAGTGTCTGTGTGTGTGAACTTGTCTGTCTGTGTAGGTGAAACTGCGATGTCGTAAAGGCATCCCCTCGTCTCTCAGAGCTAGAGCCTGGCAGCTTCTGTCTAACAGTGAGGATCTCCTGAAGGACAACATTGGGAAGTTTGATGTAAGAGGATCCCCATATTCTACCTTTGTTTTTTCCCTGATCTAACACACCTTTCCGTGCTCAAGGCCGTCTCAGTAGTTAGCTTACATACAGTGATCAGGCAGAACATCCTGACCACCTCCTTTCTGTGCTCATTGTCCATTTTATCAGCTCCACTTACTATATAGGAGCACTTTGTAGTTCTACAGTTACAGACTGTAGTCCATCTGTTTCTCTGATACTTTGTTAGCCCCCTTTTACCCTGTTCTTCAGTGGTCAGGTCCCCCATGGACCCTCACAGAGCAGGTACTATTTGGGTGGTGGATCATTCTCAGCACTGCAGTAACACTGACACTGTGTTAGTGTGTGTTGTGCTGTCTGAGTGGATCAGAAACAGCAGTATTCATGATGTTATGCCTGATCGGTTTATATAATAATGTACGGCCCACGTGGCACGATCATATTTCAGCTCGCAAAATTATTTTAATTTCTGTCAACATTAGCCCGTTTTACCATGAGCTGCACTGTGGTTCCCAGCATGCACTGCACCTTAATGTGTGCTCCCACCCCCTTTCCAGACAACGATTTATGGGACAGCACCACAAAAACACACAAAAAAAGATGCCAGGTGTCCAGTTTGAGCAAATCGGCAGTGTTAAAAAACCTGCTGTACACTGGGGACATTTACAGAGGTTTAACAGATCCGCAGCTGATGTAGTCTTCAGTTTTTTATAAAACAATTTGTTTTCATTTAAGATTATTTTTGAATCATTCAAGTATTCAGTGCTTATTTTTTTGCCATTGTAGTTTTGGCATATTTAGAACTAACAATGGCCAGTTGGGGTCATGGCAAAATATAATCAAAACACAGCTGGCCCAAGGATTTGTAGAGATTTTTTTAATATGGCCTTTTTAGTGGTTGAGTTTGATACCCCTGACCTACAGTGATATACAGTGAATCAGGTGACAGATTGGGCAAAACACAAGAGGTGTTTTACATTGTGGAAAATATAATGATTAAGGACTTACACTAGGCTTGAGGGGTAAACTGTAGTATTCATTAATATTTTTTGAGATTTTGGCTAAAATCCTTGTGCCATTCTGTTCTTCAGTCTCCTGTTAGCAGGAAAAGATTGAACTGTGAATAATTGTCGTTTTCTCTCTTTACTTGCTGCCCCGAGAGGGAGAAGTAGTCTAGCCATTCACTCAGAGCAGCACTAACTGTTTTCATTGTTGAAATTATAAAGAGTAAAAAAGCCTGAGTTTGAGGAAAACATCTCATAATGACAGGATGTTATGGTACAAAAGGGTGGGAAAAATAGTAATCATTAATAATTAATAATACTAATATATAAGAAATATATCACTGCTGTCGGAAGAAAACCTCGTATCTCCATTTTTGTCGCTTTTTTGGTTTTTGACATAATTTGAAAATACCTGTTGGCCTTTACATTGTTTGTCAATTTCATAAAGAATGGATGAATAGAAATGGCCAAAATGACTTGAAAAAAAAAATCTGGTTCCATTGACTTACATTAAAAGTAAAGTGCGTTTTTTCCTTTTCCTGTAAAGTTACCATTTTGGAGATAACCACAGCGATATGGTACTGTTTTGGTCATTAATCTGAGATTTGCTAATTCGTTTCACCCCCTTCTCCTCTGATCTTGCAGGAGCTGGAGAGAGAGCAGGGTGATCCGAAGTGGTTGGATATCATAGAGAAAGACCTACACAGACAGTTTCCCTTCCACGAGATGTTTGCTGCTCGCGGGGGCCACGGGTAAACAGTGATTTTCTCTTAATGAGAGAGAGGGCAGCATTGAGTGCTCCAGTAAGGCGTGGAGAAAACTGCATAAAATCAAACCCAAAAAGGGAAAAAAAGATGTTTTTATTCTGCATTTTTGATCTGAAATGTCTCATCAGCCACATATAAGCTCATTGTGTGGTAATTGTGCTGGACTGTTGCCTCCTTTGTCTCATATGTCTCTGCTTTGTGCGTCTGTATGTTAACAGTCAGCAGGATCTGTACCGTATCCTGAAGGCCTACACCATCTACCGGCCAGACGAGGGCTACTGCCAGGCTCAGGCTCCTGTGGCTGCAGTGCTGCTGATGCACATGCCTGCAGAGGTGAGAAACACGCACTGCTCTTTGGAGCAAGGAGGGAAAACAGGGAAGCAGAGTGGGGAAAAAATGATGAAATGGAAGCCTGGAGACTGACAACCTGCACAGAAATCCAGTGGGACAAAGAGGAAAAAGATCAGGACATGTAAACAAACGGGAAGGAAAGAATATTACAGACATGATTTAATACACGTGATTAAATTATAATAATAGCAGACAGGATGTTGATCGAGGGTATTTGTAGTGAATACTAGAGTGACCATAAACACATGTAGACACATGTATACTTAGCACCACAGGGTTATTTGTGAATTTATGACCTCAGTGCCAACACAGCAAATAAAACAAGACTACATAAAAAAAGTGTGTATGTGTGTATTAGGGGTGGAAGGTGCACCGGTATAGAAGTAAATAGTGAAGATGTTGCCCTGTGTTGCAGATTTTATCATATTGTGTATATTGTGATAACAATTAATTATAATAGTTATAATAACAATAATCATCATTATTATTGTCATTATAATATTATTGCCATCGTTGTTGTTTTATCAAGCGTAGCCCTTTTTGGCATGACATGCTATCTACAATATGGATAATAATAGTTATAATAAGAAACATTAAAAGAAACATCTTCTACATGTATTTTTTTTGTTTCTTTGAGGTTCCCTGTTCCCATTTGTGTGATTTTATGAACCAAAAACAGTCATAATTAATTTCTACGTGACCATTTTCCAGCCTCTCTTTATCCCTGCATGCACTGTATCTTTAAGACTGATTACATGTAAATTACCTCTCTTTTGATTGGCTGCCCTGTACTGTGCTACATTCAAAAAGCAGTGCTGGCCAAAACAGTCCTAATAGCTTCATCATAAGTGGGTGTGTCTGATCTGCTTTAGGTAGAATAGGTGAAAACATGCGAACGGGTCGGCTTTGGTACGTCACAAAAACAGTTAATTCAAAATGGGCTGTTTTCGCAGTTGAGTTTCCATATGTGGACTGTACTTTTTTATACTATATTAATTTTATTTATTTATTTATGTATTTTTTTTAGGAAAAAGGAGGTTAAGTTGTTTTTCCATGTTATGGGCCTTTTAATTATTTTAGTTTTTTGGTATATTGTGATATGACGTGTCTGGATTCTGTTAAGACAGTAGATAGTATTATGCGATGTCCTACCCTGAGTGTCCAAGGCTGCGTTCACATTACCAGGCTGAAGTGGTACAAATCTGATCTCTTGCCCTAATGTGACTCAGATCTGATGTTTTCAGAGCAAATCTGATCTTTTCAAATCCGACCTGAGCCACTGTGGCTGCGTTCACATTACAAGCCTCGTTGCTCAAATCCGATCTCTCTGACACGATGGTTCACACTCGTTTAGGTAAGTGATTCAAATCTGTCATTAATGTGACGAACCGGCGTCCTGAAATGACCCTCATGAGCTCATCCTACTCAGTAACGTCACGTGAATGAATCACTGCATCATCAGCACAAACTAACGAGCAGAACGAGCTTCGCTGAGAAGATCATTAACTCTGATCAGCTCTCAGCTTCATTATTAGAGCGAGACGAAGGAGAAAAAGGTGAGATGAGCTGCTGTTCCACCGTACACACAAAGCTCATGAATTACGATCTGAGCATCACATTAAGGTCGCATGGCCACAAATCGGGTACGTATCTGATCTAGGACCACATATGAAAATGGCTCAGGTCGGATTTGAACAGATCAGATTTGAAAAGCCTTGAAAACATCAGATCTGAGTCACATTAGGGCAAAAAATCTTGTGCCTCTTCAGCCTGGTGATGTGAACGTAGCCTTTAGTTTGTCACCCACCTAAACGAGTGTGAAGCATCATGTCAGAGAGACCAGATTTGAGGCTTGTGATGTGAACGCGTCTGCAGTATTTTCACCAAATTTCCCTAATCAGCCTTTGAAAGGTACAGTTATAGAAAATGTTATATTTGTGTTCAAAGTTTGTTTTTTAACACTTGTCTTGTTCTGTGTGTATCAGCAAGCCTTCTGGTGTTTAGTGCAGATCTGTGAGAAATACCTGCCTGGGTACTACAGCGCTGGACTGGTGAGTTGTTTTACGTTGATATGTTGATATTATATCAATGACCCCTCTGAGCTGTTACAGCCCCCCTCTCCGGCCTGGGTGTGCTGTTGCTGTGCTAGGCTGTAATCACTTGTTTGAGCTCTTTAATCTGTTGATATATAGATGTACACTGATCAGGCCTAACATTCTGACCACCTCCTTGTTTCTACGCTCATTGTCCATTTTATCAGCTCCACTTACTATATAGGTGCACTTTGTAGTTCTACAGTTACAGACTGTAGTCCATCTGTTTCTCTGATACTTTGTTAGCCTCCTTTTACACTGTTCTTCAGTGGTCAGGACCCCCATGGACCCTCACAGAGCAGGTACTATTTGGGTGGTGGATCATTCTCAGCACTGCAGTAACACTGACGTGGTGGTGGTGTGTTAGTGTGTGTTGCGCTGGTCTGAGTGGATCAGACACAGCAGTGCTGCTGGAGTTTTTAAACACCTCAGTGTCACTGCTGGACTGAGAATAGTCCACCAACCAAAAACATCCAGCCAACAGCGTCCTGTGACCACTGATGACCAGGCTAACAAAGTATCAGAGAAACAGATGGACTACAGTCTGTAACTGTAGAACTACAAAGTGACCCTATATAGTAAGTGGAGCTGATAAAATGGACAATGAGTGTAGAAACAAGGAGGTGGTCAGAATGTTCTGCCTGATCGATGTATATTACTTTGTTTTTGTTATGGGTGTTGTGTTTTTTTAAACACACAGGGGGGATCAGCTCGTCACACTGCACGCTTGTGTCGTTCTATAATGAGTCGAACTGAATTGAACGGTTAGGAAGCCCAAGATCTCATACTGTTCTGTTTCTTTGGTTCTCCGCTCACAGGAGGCCATCCAGCTGGACGGAGAAATATTTTTCTCTCTGCTGAGGCGCGTGTGTCCCATGGCCTACCGTCACCTGAAGAAATTTAAAATCGACCCCATCCTCTACATGACGGAGTGGTTCATGTGCATCTTCTCGCGGACGCTGCCCTGGGCCTCCGTTCTCAGAGTCTGGGACATGTTCTTCTGCGAGGGTGAGATAATTATAGTAATATAATCATTGTCATTCATCTGGACAGAAATTTTGAATTGAAATTGAAAATTTTTTAAACAAAAAAAAAAAAACAAAGGACAGTAATTTTGATTTCTTGCTTATTTTCCTGTTGACAAAAGCTGTAGTTTCAGTGTTAGGGATGGAGCGGCTGCTGGTGGGCCGCTTATTGATACTGTATTTTTGCTTTTTGGTACTGTCAGTCCAGAGAGGGAGTGCGAGACCCGCACACACGGCATCCTCAGTGATCCTGTCCAATCACACAGTTTAACTCTAAGCCCCCGATAGGGTTGTTTCTTAACATTTGAGGGCCCTAAGGGACCTCCCACCCACCTCAATAAAAAAACACAAAAACTACAGATGACAATAGCCATTTTTACATGCAGCCTAATAATCTGTTAATAGCTAATAGCTCAATCAGAATAGACTAGTCCAATTGAAGCCGTTCGGAATATAATTTCTGTCTGATTGAACGAGGTGCGTAATCCTGTAAATAATCCGTTAAATAGAAGAATAATATCCGTGTAAACGCCTGTATCCGATTACATTCCCTATCGGAAAGTTTAAGTCCGTTCTGATCATGTTCGTCACGCCATAGTGAAAGTTTATACCGTTCAACATGGCGGAGCAGAAACTGGTCTGCAGAGGAGACGAAGTTTCTGCTCTGATCTTTAAAAGACGGCGGTGGGACGGACGTCCAGCTTATGTGTCTCAGAACACGACGTCTTCCTCTCCTTCGTTAATAAGGACATGTGAGGGACGTTTTCCTGAGTCTGACATCATTTTAAAGCAGTTAAAAACACAAGCGCTGCTCACTGCTGCTCATCTCACTCTGACTGGACTCACGTGATGTTCGTCGTCATGGTAACGTCTACACTGAGTGGTTCTCTACGCATGAGCGTCATTCTGGATCAGATTACTTGTAGTGAGCATGTAAACGGAGATTCTCCATCAGACTGTTGAGTAGAGTGAGAATAAACACCTCAGTCTGAATCTGTAATCGGAATGTGTTCAATCAGATTGGAGAAAATCTTTGCATGTAAACACAGACAATGAATCCGTATTTCATTTAGATCAGAAAAAAGTTAACTTAATGCTAAAGTAAATGATATATAACAATATTTTTAACAACTGAACAATATATATACATAATGAAATATAAATATATGTATTTTAATACCAGGGCGGCACGGTGGCGCAGTGGGTAGCGCTGTTGCCTCACAGCGAGAATGGCCTGGGTTCGATTGCCGGCCGGGTGACCAGGGTCCTTTCTGTGTGGAGTTTGCCTGTTCTCCCCGTGTCTGTGTGGGTTTCCTCCGGGTACTCCGGTTTCCTCCCACAGTCCAAAAACATGCAGTTAGGCTGATTGGACATGCTGAATTGCCCCTAGGTGTGAGTGAGTGTGTGTGTGTCTGTCTGTCTGTCTGCCCTGCGATGGACTGGCGACCTGTCCAGGGTGTATCCTGCCTTCCGCCCAATGACAGCTGGGATAGGCTCCAGCACCCCACCGCGACCCAGAAGGATAAGCGGTTTAGATGATGTATGTATGTATGTATGTATGTATATTAATGCCAATAAAATACTGAAAATAATCCCTGACTAATTCGGATCTTTTTGGCTCCTTAGATAGTTAACTAGCCAGGATAAAACACTTTCTTAGTTGGATGATATCAGAACCATAATTTTTCATTCCTTAATCCAAACTAACTTTATTTACCAAGCTAGCTTGACAACTGATGTCGTTCATTATTCTTTCTAAATTAAGTTACATTCATGCATTGAATGTACAATGTATTATAATGTATTATGATAAGTAAGACTATTAAAAAAAACAGAAGACCTAACTGAGGCGACTGGTGGTGTTGAAATCCAGTCTGAATGTTTGGGCTTGTTAGCTGCCGCTAAGCTAAGAAAAAGGGAAAGCTCTGGTTTATCTGATCATCAGAGACACACTGGTGTGGAATTTGTCTCCACAGGTCTCGGCCTCCAGCAGTTTCCACAGCGCTGACTGGATTTAGGGTTATTTAAAGGGACACTGTGACCAAAATTAAATGATTGCTGTGTCTGCTGTAAACATGCCGACTCGCACCCTACAGTGGTGCTGCAGGAGCCTCGAGAGAGAGTTACCAGTTTAAAGGCTAAACCGAGTTAAATACCCTTCTGATGTATTTTAAAGGTGCGAGGAACTCTTAAAAAAAAACTCCAGCTGCTTTTGTTTGTTGTAATTTTTAGCTAGATAGTCAGTACAGAAGGAAGGCAGGTAGCTAAAGCCTTGGATACACTACACTGCTTTTAAAGTCCTGACAGACTATAAAAGACTGGATATCCCACCCAGTGCTGATTTTTTATTGGGAATTTTGGGAATCACACACTGAACAACTCGAATCCGCTTGTTGCTGCTGTTCGCTCTGACACAGTAAAGACGTAACAGGTGAATGTATTGACCAGGGTGTATTTTGTTTTTTCCATCTGAATTTTCATGACCAAATCGTAAGGCAGATTATTCAGTAACTGCATGAAAAAAATGTACATTTTTATTTTATTTTATTTATTTATTTTTTGTAAAAGCTCCCCTCAAATTAATAGAACATGTGTTTTATGATCACACACATTGTTATATGCTTACAATTTACTGCTGAAAGCCAAAAATCTTTGTACTATTTTATAAAAATAATTTGTACAGAGCAGATCACTGAAAAGACGCCGTCTGTTTATAGTTTATAGCCCAGATTTGTGGAAAAATGGGTCGACTTTCAGCAGAAAAAATAAATTATGAGTTCAGCTTCTTTTATTATAAGTGTTTAAATTACATCACCCATCTATTTGACTGGAAAGAAGACAGTTACAGCCTCATACGACCCCCACCTTTAGAATGTAGCTTATGAAATACGAAAGTTATGAAGAATATGAGGCAGTGCGTTTTGGAACCACTGGTGGTCTCAAAGAGTTGAAAAGGTTAAGTGAGGATTGTGGATGTAAAGATGTGATCAGTGGGGTAGTTTTATGTGTACATGCACTTGATTGTGCTGGCGCCTTAAAGGGGAGTTCCACTCATTTTTCAGAATTTCTGGTTGAGATGTATACAGTCATTCAGATTGGTTTAATATGAAATGGTTAATTTTTAGAGAAACTTAACCAACTTAGATTTCTTTACAGTGGTGGTGATAGGAACCAGGCGTCGTGATGTCTACAGTACAAATGTAGCCAGTTTATTTACTGCCTGAAGTCACCAGTGAACACGCACGTCTTCTGAGTCTTTATATGTACTGTTGATGATTGTAAAATAGTGGTCAATCTGGAAAATATGTTTAATAACTTTTCTTTGGGGACTATTTTGCCTTATAGCACCCTTCTTGTATCATTCCACCATAAACTGATTAAAATAAATTGATTAAAATATGTTTAAGACCAGAAATCTTAGCATAAAACTACTGTGAAACAGTGTCTCAGACATCTGGCAGTGAATTCACAATCATTCCTTGTAATAACTTTGTGTGAGGGAGCTTTTAGAGGCGTTGAACTCTTCAGACCTCTGGTTCCTATCACCACCACTATAAACGCTTCTGACTCTGTAAGTTTCTCTGAAATGAAGCATTTTACGCCAAACCACTCAATGATTTTGTTGACATGTTAACAATTTAATTATGCAAAAACTTTGAAAATTTGGTGGAGTTCCCTTTTAAACTTAGTTTGTTAAGAAGCTACATGGCACCAAAAAGGGTTCTTCTGTTGTTATGATGTCAAGCCTTTAACAATAGAAGAACCCTTTTTGGTGCTGTATGGAAGTCTCAAAAAGGTTCTATTTAGAAACATCTACAGCACCATTTAATGATGCAGAGAACCCTTTAATCATGCAGATGGTTCTTTGAGTGTTCATGGTACTATGTAGAACCACTTATTTTTTTGTGTAAGTGTATACAGAATGCTGCCTGTCATGATGAATAGCAGGCTGAAGTCTAGTTTTAGGGTGGAACAGCCCTTTCACTGTGAACTGTCCGTGTAGGGGTGAAGATCGTGTTCCGTGTTGGGCTGGTGCTGCTGAAGCAGATGCTGGGCTCAGTGGATAAACTGCGGGAGCTGCAGGGCATGTATGAAACGATGGAGCGCCTCCGGAACATTCCTCCAGAAAGCATCAGAGAAGACCTGCTGGTTCAGGAGGTCAGTGCACACACGTCTCACACACACACACACACACACACACACACACACACACACACACACACACACACAGAGAAACGTCCTGAGCCGTGAACCTTATGGGTCAAAAGTCACTGATTTAAATGATATGAAACCAGTTTGATTGTAGGGAAATGTTTAAAGTGATTCTAATATGATGCTCTAATACAGAGGGTACAGCTAGGTTTTAAATAATTCATAAGAGGCTGTTTTTGTTTTGTGTGGTTAATTATAGTTAATTATGTTACTCATTTGGCAAGGGAAGGTTTATATACACCGATCAGCCATAACATTCTGACCACCTCCTTGTTTCTACGCTCATTGTCCATTTTATCAGCTCCACTTACTATATAGGTGCACTTTGTAGTTCTACAGTTACAGACTGTAGTCCATCTGTTTCTCTGATACTTTGTTAGCCCCCTTTTACCCTGTTCTTCAGTGGTCAGGACCCCCATGGACCCTCACAGAGCAGGTACTATTTGGGTGGTGGGTCATTCTCAGCACTGCAGTAACACTGACGTGGTGGTGGTGTGTTAGGGTGTGTTGTGCTGGTCTGAGTGGATCAGACACAGCAATGCTGCTGGAGTTTTTAAACACTGTGTCCACTCACTGTCCACTCTGTTAGACACCCCTACCTTGTCAGTCCACCTTGTAGATGTAAAGTCAGAGACGATAGCTCATCTGCTGCTGCACAGTTTGTGTTGGTCATCCTCTAGTCCTTCATCAGTGGTCACAGGACGCTGCCCACAGGACGCTGCCCACAGGACGCTGCCCACAGGACGCTTATATTTTTGGTTGGTGGACTATTCTCAGTGCAGCAGTGACACTGAGATGTTTAAAAACTCCAGCAGCACTGCTGTGTCTGATCCACTCAGACCAGCGCAACACACACTAACACACCACCACCACGTCAGTGTTACTGCAGTGCTGAGAATGACCCACCACCCAAATAGTACCTGCTCTGTGAGGGTCCATGGGGGTCCTGACCACTGAAGAACAGGGTAAAAGGGGGCTAACAAAGTATCAGAGAAACAGATGGACTACAGTCTGTAACTGTAGAACTACGAAGTGCAACGAAGGACTCTGTGGGGCGTGAGGTAGCGAACTTCAGTAGCCCAGCTGGCTAGCAGAAAAACAGTAGAGCCTTTGGGTGTTTACTCTTTGCTGCAGCTGTTTTGAACTGAATTTATATTAAAAAGGAGTTATGGTGACATTTTAAGTGTGTAGATTTGGACACTTTGGTGTGGTATTAATTAAGCTTTTGTTTTTTTTTCTGGCCACGAATTTCAGACTTTGATTTATATATCTATCTCTATCTGTCACACATACATGAAATGCTTCCATCCTAGTTTAAAAAATCTCTCTCTCTCTCTCTCTCTCTCTCTCTCTCTCTCTCTCTCTCGCCAGGTAATCACTCTCCCGGTGACGGAGGCCCTAATAGAGCGCGAGTGCAGCGTTCAGGTGCGGAAATGGCGCGAGTCTCGAGGTGAACTGACCCACCAGCCCGGCCGCCGGCTCCACGGTACGAGGGCTATCCATGAGCAGAAGCGCCGTGCGGCCTCCATCAGCTCCGGGGGCAGCCTGTCGTTCCTGGGCAGCTCTGTGCCGCCCCCCGGCCCCCTGCGTGCCTCCTCCAGCCTGCTCTCCTTGCCCGGCTTCCGCAAGTCCAAAACACCCTTCTCTCACGCTAAGAAGAGCTCTTTTTCAGGGGCTTCAGGCCTGGAGGCCTTTTCCCTGCAGGGCTTTGGAGGTGGATCCGCTGCTATGGCTTCACCGCCTTTACCCGGAGCCTCCAGGCCACCTCCAGCTGCAGCAGCGCCACCTGGTGGCGGATCAACAGCCAGGCCGCTAGTCCAGCTCGGACCAAGCCCACTGGCGACAAAACCTGCACCAGCACCAGTACCGTCGTCTGAACCATCTGCACCACAGCCTGGGCCAGAAGCGCCCACACAAGCGCACACTCCAACCCCAAACATGCTGCAGCCCACCCCCAAAATGGTCTCAGAGCAGGTTACGCCCACCATCCCCTCACCCACGGCCAACAACGCCCCTCTACCACCCTGCACGACAGAAGACGAGGGCAAGAAGAAGAAGAGGAGCAAAGAGGACAAGAAGAAGGAGAAGGAGGAGGAGAAGCAGAGGTCTCGGGAGAAGAAGGAGCGGGAGAAGGCCGAGAAGGAGAGAGCGAAGAAGGAGAAGGAAAGAGCGGAGAAGGAGAAGAAAAAGGAGAAAGGTGGGAAGAAGAAGGATAAAGAAAAGGGGGCAGCAGCCGAGCCTGAGGAGAAAAACGGAGCTGCAGCGGCGAAAGATTCAGCGTAGTTTTTGGAGCGCCTTCTTTTTGCTAACGGAGGGAACAAAAGAATCAGGCAAGGGTGATAAAGAGACGGAACATGTGAGACGGAAGGGGGGGGGAGGAAGAGGCGCTCCTGTGAGGTCCATTTCATCTCGTGAAAATAACTGGATCCTGCATTATGGACTGTTTTTGGCCCCGGGCTACACCTCCCCCATTGACTCGGCAGCAATTTGTCCACGTTACTGTGGCTCATACAGGGGATATTTCACTATACATGCAGTCCTACTTACATGTCTGATATTCACGTTCAGTTTTATGTTATGTTTTTTCTTTTTTAGCCTGGTCTTACAGCGGAGGAAGCAAGCTTGAGGGAAGATCAGCCGTAGTTGAGTGATCGTGTGCTGGTCTGGGTGCTGTAGCAGTGTAAATAGGTCAGTTGCGAATCAACTGAGCGTCCCCGGTCTGCGCCCATTTCCTCTGTACTGTATGTAATGCTGTAGGTTACCTGGATAACCTGACAAAGAAAAAAAAAAAAGAAAAAAAAGAGAAAACCCTGAAATCATCACCCTACTAAAGCAGGCAGTGACTATAGTGATTGTACTAGTAATAATAACGTTATTAATGGATGTGGAGGGAGTTCTATTTATTGTAGTGTCGTCTGTTAGCGTGTGCGTTTATATGTTTGTGCCTTGGTAGTGTAGTGTAACGTGTCCATAGTGTAACTGCTAACTGCTCTAATCTCTTCTGTCCCCCATCCACTCCACCGAGTCTCCTCTATTCATTCTAATGAAAGAAATCGTGAGCGTTGGGTGGTTTGGCCACTAGGGGGAGCAGAGGATCTGAAAAGACTGAATGAGGATTGTTAGAAATGGTACTTTGGTCAGATTTTTTGGTGCCCTGTCTGACAGAAAAGTGAGAAAATATGCAACAAGAACCACATTTTTGGGGGGGTTTCGAGGGACTTTGTTTGACTTTTAGATATTTTTGAATATCTTTAAAAGGGGAATTCCACCCAAATCTTTAAAATTTCAGTTCAATTCCAAGGTTAGGACGTACTCAGTCATTCAGAGTGGCTTGATGCGATTTCTTTACAGTGATGCTGATAGGAACCAGGCGTCGTTATGTCAGCAACACAAACGTAGTCAGTGGTGTGATGTTGGTAATGGTGATAGAGAGGGCTGTGTTGCCTTAGAACGCCCTGCATGGATTTTAACATGCATTTTAGGCCTACAAAATGTTTGAAATTGCCCTGCATGTGAATCTTTGCCATGAATGCATTTTCATAATTAAGATTTAGGCTCAAACTATGATAAAACAGTGTCTCAGGTGTAAGAACTTTCTGTGAAAGGTACCTATTAGAGACCTGGTTCTTATCAGTTTGTTTCCACCCTAATTAAGTCTGCATTCACCCCACACCACTTAGCACAGCATATCTCATCGCTGGCCCCAGATTTTCTGGATACAAGCGGAATTATATGACGCCCTGCATGTACATCCCCATCATGAACACGTTTTAGGCTGAGATCTTTTCAAATCTGTTGCAAAAGTGTCTCAGTCATCAGGCAGTGAATTCATAACCATTTCGTGTAGTAACTTTCTGTGAGGGAGCTTTTAGAGGTGGACGTCTGGTTCCTATCACCACCACTGTGAACAGTTTTGACTCTGTCTAGAACGGAGTGTTTCACACCAAACCACTCGGAACGACTCTGTTTACATCTTATCGGTATAATTATAGACATTTTACAAAATTGGTGGAGTTCCCCTGTAAGTTTACAGTCGATTTGCAGTTCAAGAGGCTTTGATTTCTCCTCTCTCGCTCACTGTCGGCAAAAATGTCACCAAAAATAACTACTTTTTCACTTCTCTTCCCTGTAAGACTCTTTTTTTTTTTGTTTCTAAATACGGGCTAAACTGGAATCAGTGTGGAAAAGTAAGAGACGGAGAGGAAATTTCTCGTTTCGTTAAGTATTAAAAGCTTAATCTGTAATGACACCTTAAAGGGGAGAGTTTAATTTACTTGACTTCGGTTGGTGGACTTTTATTTATTTGCTTATGAAGGATTTAGTCTGATGTTGCACTGAACTTGTAGAGCACCACTCATCCTAACAGCACCACTAATTTTGACCGCTTCAATGTGTAGTAGTAGAGTCCGGTCCCGTCCGGTCCCGTCCGGTCTGGACTGGCGCACTGTAGCTTTAATCTTCAGAGGCTTTCACCTTTTGGCCTGTAGTGTATTAATGTACAGAGTTTAATTTAACCAGATGAGCGATTATATTATGTATTATTCCGGCTCTTTATCTTATTTTCGACTCGATCGTTATTTTTCTATGCAAGAATGCAGCGGCCTGGTTGACTGGAATAGCAGTGGCTTATCGGAGTGAGGTTGATTGTTGCGCAGGTGTATTTTAAACGAATCTTTTTTTTTTAGTTTTATGTATTATGGCTCTTCTTTTTATTTTCAAGTGCTGAAAGTTGTTTTTTTGCACATTTTCCTCTCTCCCCACATCCTGGAGAACGAAGCCAAGCAGTACTTATTTATTTTAGTATTTTTTAAAATCACATTTTCTTTTATTTTTTTTCCAACTGTAGCAGTATTTCAAGGTAGGGTTGGTTTACTTCTTTCTCACCTGGAGCGTGATGGTTATTTAAGGTGGGGAGTAGGAGGCCGTGGTCCAAATCTGTACTGTAAAAAGATCTGGGAGGCATTTTCTGTGTTTTAAAGGAAAGGGGGACTCTGCTCAGATGCCCTAAAACAACCCTAAATCCAGTCTCGTTGAACCACTGGACTGTCTTGAGTTTGAGTTGCCTGCAGTTTCTGATGTGATTTAAACATTAATACGCACCGTAGTCGATTGTGTAACTCCACCTTAACGCACTCACTCCTCAGTATTATCTAACAAACTGAAAGACAGCGTTCGGGACCTCTCGGATGATGCTGTCGACTTTCTGACACCGACTCGCTGAGACGTTGGTGTTTTCTTGTTGAAGAGGGACTTTGTGGTACCGTTAGTCAACACATCCTGTTGATTCTTACATTTTCCCCACCTGTTTTTGATATACTGGTCCGAGCTGCTGTTCGTCGTACCTCCTTTTCGCCTGTAGGTGGCGCCTTTTCATAAAAGAATCCAATGCTTCCTCCAACGGCGCTGCTGTAAAGGCTGAAGGCGAACAAAGAAAGTCTATGCAAACCCTAAAACTCCTGGAAGCCCGCAGGATCTCCGCGTCATGACTGTTTCATCCTTTATCTCTGACAGCACTGAAGACGAGGCGGCTTTGGAACCACTGAAGGTGCAAAGCACAAAACCTTCACGCTCCACTCTGCTGGTTCTGGGCACCACCTCGGTCAGTACGCCGGAGTGGTGGGCACAAACCCCAAAAACGGATCATTTGCTGACCAGGAATTCAAGCAGAAACGTCTGGAACTGGTACACGCGTCAGTTTGTCGTATGCATTTCCGCTTCGGTCCCTCGTTCATTGAAGTTTGTCGCTCTTTTGTAGGGTTCTTGGTCGGATTAATCGTTTTAATTCGCTTTTTGTTTTATTTTGATTGTTTTTTTTTGTAGTTTCCTCTCTTCCCATCCTGCTGTGCGTCTGTAAGTTTACAAACCATTAAAATAAATAAAATCATACCTAGTCATTCCTTAAACGCAGAAGAGGAAAAATGTACACAGTGTATTTAATTAATGATTAAGAAAATGACAGTTGTGATGAAATAATAAACCGTAATATATTAAATCACTTCTCCTGTGTGGTTTGTGAAATGGTCCCCCTTTATTGACCCTCCCTCGTCATCAGAATGAACTGCCTGAAAACCAGACTTGTGTTCCTGAGAAGAAGCTTCTTGCGAGACTGTAAGAACAGAGGCTCTGTACCTGTAGACCCCCTTTACACCTGGGCACTTCCACTCGTTACTGGCAACCAGTTACCAACTGTTCATCTGTTCAACCTCTTCGTCTGTGGTTTGCATGTTGCTGTTAATCGTTTCATCCGGTCCAACCATAATTCCTCCATGATTACCTTCCATCTTCATAGCAGACACAGATCACATTCCCAGTGACACCCTGCATGGAAAGGAGGTTTGGTTATACTGGGAGGAGTTTTGGTTGTAGTAGGAGAGGTTTGGTTGTACTGGGAGGGGCTTCTGTTGTATTGGGAAGGGTTTTGGTCATAGTAGGAGGGGTTTGGTTTGGTTGTACTGGGAGGGGTTTCAGTCATAGTAGGAGGGGTTTGGTTATACTGGGAGGAGTTTTGGTTGTAGTAGGAGAGGTTTGGTTGTACTAGGAGGGGTTTTGGTTGTACTGGGAGGGGCTTCCGTTGTATTGGGAAGGGTTTTGGTCCTAGTAGGTGGGGTTTGGTTATACTGGGAGGAGTTTTGGTTGTAGTAGGAGAGGTTTGGTTTTACTGGGGGGGTTTCAGTCATAGTAGGAGGGGTTTGGTTATACTGGGAGGAGTTTTGGTTGTAGTAGGAGAGGTTTGGTTGTACTGGGAGGGATTTTGGTTGTACTGGGAGGGCTTCTGTTGTATTAGGAAGGGTTTTGGTCATAAGGGTTTGGTTATACTGGGAGGAGTTTTGGTTGTAGTAGGAGAGGTTTGGTTGTACTGGGAGGGGTTTTGGTCGTACTGGGAGGGGTTTCTGTTGTATTAGGAAGGGTTTTGGTCGTAGTAGGAGGGGTTTGGTTATACTGGGAGGAGATTTGGTTGTAGTAGGAGAGGTTTGGTTGTACTGGAAGGAGTTTCAGTTGTACTAGGAGTTTTGATTGTTAAATGTGTCTTGGAGAGACAGATGTGTTTGTGCTGCTGTGTGTATGTATGTATGTATGTATGTATATATATATATATATATATATATATATATATATATATATATATAAAAATAAAATCCTGATACTTAAGCAGTGGTTGGTTTGGGTTACAGCACATCAATTAAAAATAAAATAAAAACTTTTTTTTTTCTGGCCCACAGATAAATAAATAAACATACAATAGAATACAGATACAGTAAACAGTATACGACATTTGTTACTGACGGCTCATGGAAAATGACAGTAATTAAATCTGTTTATTCTTACAAAGGCTGAAAATCTTACAGACAGACTGTAATGATCCACACCGCTCAGAAGAGCTTAGTAACCTCATCACAGAAGGGGGGGGGGCGTTCTTGAAGTGGGTTGTCATAGTTTGTAAAGATCTGCAGCTCCTCCCAGACAGATGTGGTTCAAAACGATGGTTTGCTGAATGAGTGGAATCTGTAATGATTCTCTTTTCTCGCTTTGAGGGGAATTCCATCAATTTTTTCAAAAATTTCTGTATAGTTCAGCGGTTGAGCTGTAAGCGAAGTCATTCAGAGTGGTTTGAGTTGTTTGATGTGAAACGGTTCCTTTGTACAGAAATTTACCGACTCAGATGTCTTTACAGTGGTGGTGATAGGAACCAGGGGTCGCCATGACTACAACACAAATATAGACATTTTATTTACTATCCAGAACCACCAGTGAACCTACACGAGTCTTCTGAGTTTATATGGAATGTTGATGATGGAAAATAGTGGAAAATCTGAAATAATAAGTTCTTTGGGGACTATTTTGCCTCACAGCACCCTGCATATTATGTATCCCTCCACCATGAATGGAGTTTAAGGCCAAGATCTTCTCAAAACGATCATAAAACAGTGTCTCAGTCATCAGGCAGTGAATTCATAACCGTTTCATGTAGGAACTTTCTGTGAGGGAGCTTTTAGAGGTGGACGTCTGGTTCCTATCACCACCACTGTGAACAGTTCTGACTCAGTAAGTTTCACCCTGTTTACATCTTAAACATTAAACTATGCAGAATTTTTTTGAAAAATCTGTTTCCTTTTAAAAGTGTGTTGAGTATAAACAGTCAGCTGTGGGAAATCCCAATTATCTTTTATATTGTCTATTACCAAGTTGATTTTTTACAAGTATGAGTTCTCAAAAATTTGAAAGATTTTACAACAGATATTGATTTTCCCAAAACCTGGACTGGAGTTTTTATATTCTGTTTCTTTCTATAATCCACAATGATTTCCACTAACAGATTCAGTGTCAGATACCAGATCATTAGTGCAGAGAGAAAAAAAGTCACAGACACAGTACTGAGCCCTGAGGCACACCTGAACTAAGTGACAAAGGTAAGTTCTTGACTTTAAGGTCCAGTCCCATTTCTTCTTTTCACCCCTACCCCTTGTTTTCGAGTGTCACCCTAACCCCTTGGAACTGAGTTACAGGGTAGTGGTTGAAATCTTCCCTCTGAAATGGGACCCTCAAATAAAAAGAGCATCACTTCATTAACAGCTACCAGCGCTGCTCTGTAGGCGACCCTGCCAGTCTGCAGTGACAGCAGAGGAGGGTAAAGTTCAGCTCCTCACTGCTGGGCTTTAGTTACATTTAGGGCATTATATGACTTCAAAGAGGGGGGCAATTATTTATTATCACCCTCCACTAATTCTTCAGTGATGTGAAGCTGAAGTCAGATATTCACCAGATTCTTGTTCAAATTTTTCCGTTCCACCTTAAATGGAGCAGCAGTTACATTCTGGCGCTTCAGGCATCAGAACGGCTGGACTATTTAAGGTGATAGGAAACTATTCAGACTTTAGCAAAGTATTAGTGATTTTTATGTTTGCTATGAATAAAACGACCATAATACACTGAAACAACATTAAACTAAGATAATAAAATGATTATCGTAATTTTTAACAGAGAAAATTCTCACATTTGTGTGTTTCTTTGGTCTCTTGTTCTCCATCTTGATGGTTTTTCTTTTTTTCTCATAACTCTCTGTTTGGAGTCTCTGAAAAACCTCCGTTTGGAGGGTCATGTAGCCCCAACACTTCACCCCACCCCTCTATCTCAACAAGAATCGGGACCCCTACCCCTAGACATGAATGCACAAAACAGGGGTAGTGCTGAGTGGTAGGGGCGAGGGGTCTAACAGACTGTTTTCTTCCACTTAAAAAGGCCAAACCCAATGACAGCTGGGTTTACGTTTAAATCCAGTAACCTTTGAAAGAGCTTGGTGATCTGCACCGTATTAAAAGCTGAGCTGAAATCTATGAAAAGAACGCATTTAGCAATTAGCAAGATCTCTGTCTCAAAATGTGATGGAGAGCTGGATTAATGGCATAAACTGATCGATTGGCTCGATAAGCAAACTGATGTGAATCCGATACCGAAGCTGTATGTGACTTAAGCTGGGTAAAGATATTCACTCAAATGCCTTCATAGCAACCAAACTAAGCGCTATGGGTCTAAAATCTGAGTATGAAGGTTTTAGCGACTTTAGGCACAGGGATAAGTGATTCTTTAAAACATTGTGGCACAGCACACCATCAAGACAGAGGTTAAACTACACTATATGGTTAAAAGTATTGGGACACACCTCTTATTCATTGAATTCAGGTGTTTCATTCAGTCTCATTGCCACAGGTGTATAAAATCAAGCAGCTAGCCATGCAGCCTGCCTTTAAACACGTTAGTGAAAGAATGCGTCTAAAGAGCTCACTGGATTCCAGCGTGGTGCTGTAATAGGAAGCCACCATTGCAACAAGTCAGTTTGTGAAATGACTTCCCTTCTAGATGTTCCTCAATCAGCTGTGAGTGTGTTATTGAAAAGTGGAAACGTTTAGGAATCGCAGCAACTCAGCCACGAAGAGTCAGACCACGTAAAGTTACAGAGCGGGTCGCCGAGTTCTGAGGAGCATAGAGCATTAAAGACACCAGCGCTCTGCTGATCAATATCTGCAGAGTTCAAACCTCCTCTGGAATCAACATCAGCACAAACTGAGCCGGGAGCTTCATGGCAGGGTCTCCATGGCTGAGCAGCTGCATGCAGGCCTTACATCACCCAGCACAATGCCAGGCATCAGATGGAGTGGAGTAAAGCGCCGCCACTGGACTCTGGAGCAGTAGAGACGTATTCTGTGGAGTGACCAATCACACTTCTCTATCTGTCAGTCTGATGGATGAGTCTGGGTTTGGAGAACGTTACCTGCCTGACTGCACTGTGCCGGCTGTAGAGTTTGGTGGAGGAGGGATGATGATATGGGGCTGTTTTTCAGGGGTTGATCTAGAACCCTTAGTTCCAGTGAAGGGGAATCTTAATGCTTCAGCAGAACAAGACATCTTGGACAATTGTATGCTTCCGACTTTGTGGGAACAGTTTGGGGAAGAACCTCACAGTTCCGTCTTCTGGAACCACACCAAGAGACTGGATGTTTGCATCACAGTTTCAGTCTCGGTTTCAGGATCATTATATGTCCTGTATGTGAAGTACATGCTTGAGGCAGCACCTCTCCCCATATATACTGTACATAAACTGGCATGTACTGTATATAAACTGTAGATTATATATAAAGTAATCAGTATCTGGGTCTAAACTGCACTTCTGAATATACTGGTATCTATTATCACACTCAACAGTCCATCCTCTGAAACTACCTTCTCAGACCAGTGTTTCTTCTAGCACCTCACTTACCTGCCTTATTACCCCACTTATCTGACTGGTACCTCACTTACCTGCCTTATTACCCCACTTATCTGACTGGTACCTCACTTACCTGCCTTATTACCCCACTTATCTGACTGGTACCTCACTTACCTGCCTTATTACCCCACTTATCTGACTGGTACCTCACTTACCCGCCTTATTACCCCCTTATCTGACTGGTACCTCACTTACCCGCCTTATTACCCCACTTATCTGACTGGTACCTCACTTACCCGCCTTATTACCCCACTTATCTGACTGGTACCTCACTTACCCGCCTTATTACCCCACTTATCTGACTGGTACCTCACTTACCCGCCTTATTACCCCACTTATCTGACTGGTACCTCACTTACCCGCCTTATTACCCCACTTATCTGACTGGTACCTCACTTACCTGCCTTATTACCCCACTTATCTGACTGTAACCTCACTTACCTGCCTTATTACCCCACTTATCTGACTGTTATCCCACTTATCTGACTGTTACCTCACTTACCTGCCTTATTACCCCACTTATCTGACTGGTACCTCACTTACCTGCCTTATTACCCCACTTATCTGACTGTTACCTCACTTACCCGCCTTATTACCCCACTTATCTGACTGTTACACCACTTATCTGACTGGTACCCCACTTATCTGACTGGTACCTCACTTACCCGCCTTATTACCCCACTTATCTGACTGGTACCTCACTTACCCGCCTTATTACCCCACTTATCTGACTGTTACCTCACTTACCTGCCTTATTACCCCACTTATCTGACTGTTACCTCACTTACCTGCCTTATTACCCCACTTATCTGACTGTTACCTCACTTACCCGCCTTATTACCCCACTTATCTGACTGTTACCTCATTGATCCCTTTCTTTGCCACTCAGCACTTTAACTTTAGACTCATACTTTGCACATTGTAAGGTTTACAGGTGTGTGTGTGTGTGTGTGTGAGTGAGTGAGTGAGTGAGTGAGTGAGTGTGTGTGTGTGTGTGTGTGTGTGTGTGTGTGTGTGAGAGTGTGTGTGTGTGTGTGTGTGAGTGAGTGAGTGAGTGATGGTAGGAATGCATGTTTTATTATTTTATTTTATTTTATTCATGTTAATATCTGTCTGATTCTGCTCTGTGAGCTCCTTTAACCAAAACCAAATTCCTTGTATGTTTAAGCAAACCTGGCCAATAAAGCTCGATTCTGATTTGGATCCTGATTCTGAATTATTCAGTATCTACTATGAGACTGATGTGTACGTTCAGTAGTTATGTGAGTGAGTCAGTGGATCCTCATATGTAGGTTTTAAAAGCGTTCAGTTTTAAAGAAACTGGGGAAATTAGAATCGCTTACATCTTTGATAAATGGGCAAAATAAATCTCCTTAAAATCGGCCTCCTTCACCTTCTCTGTCAGTGAAAGTCGTGTGGGCTAATGAGTGTTTATACAGAGGGAACTGAGAAAGTGAGGGAGTTTCCATTGTGATCTCAGGCTGTGCTGATAAAGCGCTGCCCGCTGTGCTCTGGTCTGCAGGCCGCGTTTCACTACTGCTTTCATTGCTCTCTTATCCTCTTCCCTCATATCAACATCAAAGCGATAATTCAGTGTAATATCAAAATTATAAATCATGTGAAGTATTTTAGTGTCTCTAATAGAGTTGATGATGTGGTTTCTGACACCGTGTGACTCACTGTGATCTATAAACATGGACTAAAGTACATTAGCACAGCTAAAACAGTAGCAGCGGCCGTCCTGAAGCACTCAGGCCGAGCGCTAAACACAACGAACGCAGGTATGAACCAGCACAGTGTTCCTCCTTCAAGTGACCTGACCACTGGGAGACCAGGTCAGTTTAGGCATTAAATGCCCAACCAGGCTCCGCCCACAAACACATTCTTTCCTAGCTGCTATTTAGGTTTAATATATAATTTGAATTAGACTAAATTGAATTGGACTGAATTCAACTTAACCGGACTGGACTAAATTGGACTGGACTGATCTTGAATTGATCTGAATTTAATGGAACTGAACTAAATTAAATTGACTGAACTGGATTGTGAGGTTCAATACGCTTTACAGAACACTGAATTGAATTAGACTGAACTTAATTGAAATGGACTGAATTGAGTTAACTGAACTAAATTTGATGGGACTGAACTTGAAGTAAATTGAATTAATTGAACTGGACTAAAAAAAGATCTGGACTGGACTAAACTTGAACTGATCTGAATTAAACTGAACTGAAATGAGTTGAATTAACTGAACTCAGGTGAACTGGACTGGATTGTGAGGTTGAATGTGCTTTACAGAACGCAAAGACTGATTTGAATTGAATTGAATTAGTCTGAACTGAACTTAATTGAAATGGACTGAATTGGACTAGAATGAACTTGAATTTATCTGAATTAAATGGAACTAAATTAAATTTAATTTGTTAATTGAATTTAACTGGATGGAGCTTGAAGTGAATTGAACTGAATTACCGGAACTGAATGGACCGAATTATGAGGTTTATTACGTTTTACAGAACACAAAGTCTGATTTGAATTGCGCTGACTTGAATTACACTAAATTGAATAGTACTGAACTTGAACTGAGTTGAACTAGACTGGACTAAAGTTGGACTGGACTAAATCTGAATTGAACTAGACTGAATTGAATTAACTGAGCTAAATTGGACTGAACTGAACTTAAATTGATCTGAATGAAACGGAGCTGAATTGAGTTAAGTGAGCTGAATTGGACTAGACTGAACATGAATTTATCTGAATTTAACTGAACTTAGTTAAATTGAATTTATGAATGGAGTTGAACTGAGTTGGACTGGATGGAACTGGAAGTGAATTGGATTGAATTACCTGAACTAACTGAATTAAACTGAACTGAATTGAAATAGTTGATCTGAACTGAACTGTCATCCAGGTATTCAACCACGTTCACTCCTTGCATTCCTCAGTTTTATATATAAATGGGAAATACATCTATAACATTGTTATTACACTTGTGAAATGGCAAAATTAAACATGAGAACATCTACAAAACTAGATCTAGTTCTTCAGCACTTTGCATTGAACTCAGACAGTGGCTGATGTCAAAAGAGGCAGGACGCCGACAGCCAATCCCAGCGCGGGTGGGCGGGGCTTGCTGAATCACAGGTGGAGGGGAAAAAAGTGCGGCTGTAGGAGGTTTTTGTTACCAGGAAGTGGGTCGTGTTATTTATATTTCAGCAGAGTGGAGGAGCGAGGCTGAAACAGGACACCTGGACGACATCCCACAATCCACTGCACTCACCTGAGGATGGACAGAGACGGACACACAGCACCTCGCAGCGCACGGCGGGGGCTCTGAGGGGCACAGTAAGTTAAACCTGCTGCTTATTCTTTCCTGTTCTCTGTTAAAGAGGCAGTGCAGTCTCACTTCCTCAGCCTCTCAGAGGAGCTGATAAAGAACTGAGTGTGTTGAAGATGTGGAGGCTGAGGCTGAATGCGGGGCTGATCATGTGTGACGAGTCAAACTGGTTATTAGAGTCTGCTGCTGTAGTCAAGCTAGAAAATCGAGTCAGTGTTTTGACCCTCAGAGGAGCTGAGTGTGTGTGTGTGTGTGTACATATATACACACAGATACTGTATATAATATACACATATTACAGGTTTATTACACAGTAAAGCCCAAATTAAACTCGTCTATACTGTTTATTCACTATGCTTAAGCACATAACTGGAGGTCTGTTACATGAAGATCACTAATAAATGTCTTATTAGGTGTTTAAATGCATTATAGCAATCTAAGACCTTTTTATGCAAATTATTCCTCACATTTCATTACTATTGGTGATTTCTGGAGTTTATTACGTTATTCAGTTCCAAAGAAGCGAGTTTGTATCACACATATACATTCTGACCACCTTGTTTCTCCGCTCATTGTCCATTTTATCAGCTCCACTTACTATATAGGTGCACTTTGTAGTTCTACAGTTACAGACTGTAGACTATAGTCTGTGTGTTGTGCTGGTACGAGTGGATCAGACACAGCAGTGCTGCTGGAGTTTTTAAACACTGTGTCCACTCACTGTCCACTCTATTAGACACTCCTACCTTGTCGGTCCACCTTGTAGATGTAAAGTCAGAGACGATAGCTCATCTGCTGCTGCACAGTTTGTGTTGGTCATCCTCTAGTCCTTCATCAGTGGTCACAGGACGCTGCCCACAGGACGCTGTTGGCTGGATATTTTTGGTTGGTGGACTGTTCTCAGTCCAGCAGCGACACTGAGGTGTTTAAAAACTCCAGCAGCATTGCTGAGTCTGATCCACTCAGACCAGCGCAACACACCCTAACACACCACCACCACGTCAGTGTTACTGCAGTGCTGAGAATGATCCCACCACCCAAATAGTACCTGCTCTGTGAGGGTCCATGGGGGTCCTGACCACTGAAGAACAGGGTAAAAGGGGGCTAACAAAGTATCAGAGAAGCAGATGGACTACAGTCTGTAACTGTAGAACTACAAAGTGCACCTATATAGTAAGTGGAGCTGATAAAATGGACAATGAGCGTAGAAACAAGGAGGTGGTCAGAATGTTATGGCTGATTGGTGTGTGTGTGTGTATATATATATATATATATATATATATATATGTATATATATGTATATATGTATGTGTATGTGTGTGTGTAAATAATTTTTAGGGTCTATTTATTTATTTATTTATTTATTTATTGTGTTTACAGTAAGTTTTAAAGCTGGTGCCTTCTGCACTCGGTGTCTGGCTCCACTCCAGGGGGCGCTGTGATGAAGATCCATGAGAAGATTCTGACGTACTACCTGTCCTGTACTTCACCTGTAGATAAAGAGGGGTATCTGTACAAAAAGGTGAAACAAACACTTCTGGAGTTCTCATCATAACGTGTTCAGTTGTCAGACTAACCCCCCCCCTTCGCCCCCGCCCCCATCCCAGGTTCTTTGCACGGTGAAATGGTTCTTCAGATTGCTTGACATCATAAACAATAGCAGAACCCTTTCTGATGCTCTATAGAACCATTTTCAAAAAGGTTCACATTCTCCATCAACCTAAAGAACCATTTCACCCTGCAAAGGTGAAATGGTTCTATAGAAAACTATTTCTAAATAGAACCACTGCCTTTACTAAAGAACCCTTGAAGAACCATTTTTGAGAGCGCAGTATAATTTCCACACGAATAAAATATATTAAAGCAGCACAATTTTATCTTGCAGTTCATTTGCTTTTATTTTGTTTTCTTCTTTTATTTACCATGGAAAATTAAATTTTTATCACTGTTTTGAAATAGAGGTTTGATGTAGTACATAAACACCCCCCCCCCCCAACTCCATATGGTCCATATGTGCAAACTAAGCTGCAGAAACAGCCCGTTTTGATTTCACTGTGACGTCATAAAAATCAGCACATTTACATCTATTCACCTGTCCAGCCTACAGTGGTTTAGCCCCGCCCACTCACACTGAAGTTATGAGGAGTGTTTCTGGCCGGACTGGTGGAGATTCATTTTTTAAAGGGGGATTCCACCAGTTTTTCAAAATTTCTCCGTAATTCAGTGTTTGAGATGCAGGCAGAGCCATTCAGAGAGGTTTGGTGTGAAACTGTCCATTAAACTCATCTGAGGTTTTCAGACTTTGCGCTGTATAATATCAGCTTTTCACCTGTTCTGTTCATCTTTTCATGACCTTTTTCTTTCTTTTTGACCCTTTCTTTGTCCCTTTGTTCGTTTATTTTTGGTTCGTTATTCTTCCTTCCTTCCTTCTTTTATTTTTTTTTGTTTTTTTTATTCATATCTTTCCTTACTTCTTTCCTTTGTGCTTAGTTTTTGTTTCTTTCTGCTTCCTTCCCTCCTTATTTTCTTTTTCTTTCTTTCTTTCTTTCTTTCACATGTAAACATGAATTATGACTTGTACATAAATACAGCTAAATGATAATAATGAATAACAAAAATGAAATGCGGGAAACGTGTAGCCTATGGGCTCTTTAGTGTGTTTCATTTTATTCTAAGTGGAAATGATGGACACGTTCGACACAGCGCAGCGCTTTTTACCGCATCGTTACTAAACATAGAGCGCCGCTCAGAAGCCGCCTGTCCTATTTCCTCATTAATAACAGCGTTTATGATCGAGGTCTTTGAAGGCTAATAATACAGCGTGGTGCCCTGATCCTGCGGCTCCGGGAGGACCTGCTTCACATTCCTTAAAACCTGCTCCCGCGTCTGCAGAGCCACCGCCCTCTTCGTCACGCTGTGCAGACTTTAACTCGCCTGGTCGCTTCAGATTTACTAACATCTTTCATCTTTGCGGTCAGTTTGACCCCAGCAGTCTAAACCTGGTGGTGTGGATTATCAGTGGTTCTCGCTGTTCTACAGGTGTGGTTCTGTTAGGGCCCTAAAGCGGAGGAACGTTCTACCAAGATTATCCGCAAGTGTTGTTTAATACCGTTTTATCGAAGTCAAAGAAAGTGTGCTCACACTTTGAAGTGACCGTTTTGTCCCATTAAACGTCTCCGAGGCGTCTCTGGGACAGAGGGCCATCTGCGGGTGACAATAGTGACAATGATACGATCTTAAAAAGATGGTTCTTCAAGGGTTCTTTTGTAAAGAACCAAGAACACTCAAAGAACCCTTTCCATGATTAAAGTGTTCTTTGCATGGTTGACTGCCACCTTAAAGTCAATGTTACCTTAACTGCAGTGCCACCTAAAATCCTCTACCACCCTAAATTCACTGATGCCTTAAATTCGTTGCCACCTTAAATCCACTGCAACCTTAAACTCATTGCTACTGTAAAATGGACTCCCATTCAGTGCCACCTTAAATGCACTGCCACCTTAAATGCATTTCTAGCTTAAATGCTGTCACCTTAAATTCTCTGCCAGCTTAAATTAGCTGATACCTTAACTTCACTGCCACCTTAAATCTCCTGCTACCTTCAAACCACTGCTCCCTGATACATTAAATCCAATGCTTCCTTAAATTTGTGGCCACCTTGAATGCACTGCCGCCTTAACTTCAATGCGACCTTAAATTCACTGCCACTTTAAATTCATGGTTATTATTGTTATTAGTACTGTTATTGCTGTGCATTAGGCTGTGAGTCTGTGTGTACTGTGTATGAGCGCACTATTCCTGTGTATGAGGAACGTGTGTACAAAATTTGGTGGTTGTACGTCAAAAACTTTGGAGGCTGTAGTCATGCTGTAGTCAGGCTGTAGTCAGGCTGTAGTCAGGCTGTAGTCATGCTGTAGTCAGTCTGTAGTCAGTCTGTAGTCAGACTGTAGTCAGGCTGTAGTCAGGCTGTAGTCAGGCCGTAGTCAGGCTGTAGTCGTGCTGTAGATCTCTGATGGTGTCTGTCGTGCAGAGAGAGCGGAACACCTCCTACCTGCGCCGCTGGTTCGTTCTGAAGGGGAACCTGCTGTTCTATCAGGAGCGTCCTGCTGACCGCAGCCTGCTGGGGGTCATCGTTCTGGAGGGCTGTGCAGTGCAGGCCGGAGATCCAGAAGGACTGTTCTCCTTCTCTTTGGTGTTCGCCGGGCCCGGCCTGCGCACCTACAGACTCGCCGCCGAGGACCACCTGAGCCAGGAGAGCTGGGTCAGCGCCCTGCTGACCGCCAGCCACGTCTACACCTCACTGCTGGTCAAAGACCTAGAGAGGCTGTACGAAGGTCAGTTGAGGGGTTTTAAGCAGGTGGAGATTCAATTTTAAAGGGGAATGAAATTAAAAAAAAAAATTCTTCATAATTCAGTGTTTGAGATGATGATGTTTTTCAGACTTCTCGCTGTAGCATATCAGCTTTTCACCTGTTCTGTTCATCTTTTCACAAATGTTTTCTTTCTTTTTGACCCTTTCTTTGTCCCTTTGTTTGTTTATTTTTGTTTCGTTATTCTTCCTTCCTTCCTTCTTTTATTTTTTTATTTGTTTTTCTTTATATCTTTTCTGACTTCTTTCCTTTTTTCTTTGTTTCTTTGTTTCTTTCTACTTCCTTTCCTCCTTCTTTCCTTTTTTCTGTTTGTTTGTTTGTTTCTTTGTTTTTCTTTCTTTCTTTCTTTCTTTCTTGCTCGCCATGACAACGCAAATATAGACATTTTATTTACTATCCAAAACCGCCAGTGAACCTACACGAGTCTTCTGAGTTTATATGGAATACTACTACTACTACTAATAATAATAATAATGATAATAATAATAATAATAATAATAATTATGCTCTTTTTATGTGTTTTAATTGAACAGAAGCTAAACAGGAGAAAAACCTCAGTGACTCCTCCCACTCCCCCACTGTGATTGGTTCATGCGTTAAGGCCTCGGGCACTGCCATGGCCTCCTTTAACACCGGCCCACCCTTCTTCATCCAGAGACCCCCAGCTTTACCCAGAGAGAGGAGAAGCTACAGCGCGAGCGCCGCGCTGCAGGCCCACGCCATGCCAGCCCCCCTCAAACCTGCTAACAAGAGATCCCCCAAACTCTGGCCAAAGAGGAACGCCCACGTTACGCCTCTGAACGGCCCCGCCCCTCCCCACGGGGAGTGGCCTTTAGTCTGCTTTGATCCGCTGGAGGAGTTCAGTCGACTGCACGAGTATTATGGAAATGAAGTGAAGCAGCTGAGAGCTGATTGGCTGAGGAGCAAACGGGAGAAAGAGGGACATGTTGAAGAGGATCTGATTGATTTGGGCTAAAATGTCTCCTTATTCCACAAATATCTGCTGCCTTATTTGCTTTGAAAGGAAAGTTTGACAACCCCTTTAAATTTACTCCCCCTCCCCCAGCCCAAATGTAGTAAATCAGTCAAGATGTAGATATTATGGGATGCATTTTCAGAAACGTCCAAACTCTGAAATCAGTTTAATACCCACTACAACTTCAGTACGGACTGAATTTAGTTCAGTAGCTATTCCAGAATAACAGTACCTTCATAATCTCCTCATGAACTCCAGATAAGAAAACAGCATCACACAAACATCCTAACCAGACTAAACCTCCTAAATCCTGTCCTAACTTTAGGATGAACCCCAACAGGGTCCTCACTTCTGCTCTATTCAAAAGCACATCGCTCTTAGGCGACTGTGGCATGAAGACCCAGCCACAGAAGCTTTTCCAAGTACGTATCTGAATGCTCAAAAAACAGAGAGCAGTGATTTAGTTAGTTCTATTTGATCTGTATTAAATTGAAAACATTACAAAAACACAATATTTGATGTTTTACCTCATCATTTCTACTGGTTTTCTGTGAATATATGCTCATTCCAAATTTGATGCAACAACACGTTCCATGATTACCGCTGTGTTACATCAGCTTCCCCTTTAACATCACTAAATAAACGGCCTGAAGAAACAAACTGATCAAGCAGAATTTTTTCAATTCTTCTGTTATCTGAGTCTTCAGCTGTGCAGCCGTTCAGGACCTTCACTGCATTATTATGAACTTCATAATTTGCCACACGTTTTCAGTGGGAGGCAGTTCTGGACTGCAGGCGGGTCAGACTAGCGCCAGCACTCTCTGACTACGCAGCCATGCTGTTGTAACAAGAGCAGGATGTTTCTTGGTGATGTCATGTTGAAATAACCATGGACGTCTCTGAAAAAGACGGCGTCTAAAAGGCAGCGCATTCACTCCAAAATCAATCAACTTTATTTAAACTCGGAATACATTGAGGGAGACCCTCATTTACAATGTAGCCAAGTAATACAGGAATCAGGGACTGAGAAGTTGTACAGTAAAAAATAAATCAAATGCTGTAATTAAATAATAAAAATCATAAAAGTAAAATTTAATAATTAGAAGGTACCAATAAACTGTTGAATCAATAAATGATTAAAATTACAATGTAACAATTTATCAAGTAACAGAGCAGATAAGGATAAACTAAATAAAAACAATTTAATGAAATAAAAGAAATAGATGTAAGACAATAAATTGACAATTATAAAATAAATGAAAAGAATACTAATAAAACAAATAAAAGAATAAAAAGAATGATAAAAAGTCAAGAGATACAAGTACAAAAGTAAAAAAAAAGTAATAACAATAGCTAAGACATTCAGCTGTGCAGAGGCTGTTTGGGGCCTTCACTGCAGTGGGAGGCCTTCACTCAGTGGGAGGCAGTTCTGGACAGCAGGCAGGTCAGACTAGCGCCAGCACTCTCTGACTACGCAGCCATGCTGTTGTAACAAGTGCAGGATGTTTCTTGGTGTTGTCATGTTGAAATAACCATGGACGTCTCTGAAAAAGACGGCGTCTAAAAGGCAGCGTATTCACTCCAAAATGTGTTCAGCATTAATGGTGTTTTCACAGATGTGCAGGTTACCCACTAATCCCCCCACACACCATGACAGATGCAGGATTTTGAACTTTACACTGGTAACAATCTGGATGGTCCTTTTCTTCTTTGGCCTGAAGAACACGTCAATAAGCACTGTCCATTGCTGTATCCATAAATGCAAGTTAAGACTGTACTATGTACAGCGCAAGTCATATATCAACAGCTAGAAACGCTGCCGACTTCTCTGGGCTGGAGCTCATTTGATGCTCAGTGGTAACGTGATGGTTTTTAATTGCAGTGTCGTCTGAGGGGTTTGTGGTTTTCAGCCTTGCAGAGATTTCTCTGGATTCCCCGAATCTTTTGATGGTACTATGCAATTTAGAGGATGAAGCACCTAAAGTCCTCGAAATCACTTACTGAGTAATGTTATTTTTAAACTGGTAGATTTCTTGCTGATGCAAAGTGTTGTCAACTCATCCTGGATGTTTTTTTTTACAGCCAATCATGATTGCATCACCGGTTTATGTTTTCTGAACATTCAACGGCGTTTCTAGTCTTAAATTACCTCCATGTGTTGCAGCAGTTTTCAGAATGAGCTTGTATTTATTAAAAAAAATAAAGTTGATAAGATAAAACGTTAAATATCCTGTTTTTTATACCTCTTTTGCTAAGCAGATCGTAGATTGTTATCTGCTTTTACTTGCATTTTACCTACTGTCTTAACTTATTTGGAGTTGGGTTCGAATGTTAGACTAGCTAACCGTAATTTACATGTTTGTTTTCGTAATTTTGCATATTTATTTTTAGCTGTGAGTTGGTTGTTTGGTAGTCCTAGTTCAGGACTTCCTAACGTTACGACCCCCTTTGACTTGGCTGTGCGGCAGGAGGAGCCTGCACCGTGGTTGTTGTGCAGTCGCACCGTAATTGTTGCGCAGTCGCACTGTAATTGTTGCGCAGTCGCACTGTAATTGTTGCGCAGTCGCGCCCTGAACTTGCTGCCGGTGCGAGGATGGTAAGCGACCATGCCTGCTTTGTTATAGGAGAGGTGGCTGACCCACCAACCGGTCTAGGTACTCCTCTTGAGCTGCATGTTGCTCTTTTGCCAGTCATTTGTTTTTCGAGTGAACATATTTAGTGGTTGAGGAAAAATCAGTGACCCTGATGTTTTTTGAGATCCAGTATCTGTGATTAATATTTGGAGCATGTTAACTTTTGAGCTTTTATGAAAACTGCCAGTCAAACATCTGTTGAGTAACTTGGTTAAGTAATGTTAGAGTTTTAAGAATCTTAAATCTCCTGGACAAAATAATTTTCTTTAGGCCTTTGATTCTGGTTTCGAATTTAAAATGAGTCTCCCAGTTTTGTCTCATATTTGCATTTCAATTCATAAAATAAGACAAATTTAGCTTGTCAGCTCTTAATGTAGGACTAAAGACAGGATGTTTCTGTAATAGCTTTATGCTGACTGTATGCCTAAATCATCACTCAGTATCTCTAATAGACTTGATTGTGTGGTTTCTAACTCCGTATGACTCACTGTTACCTATAAACATGGACTAAAGTACAGAAATTCATGCCTCAAGATGCAGCTACTGTTTATAGCTACATTAGTCTATTTGTACAGATTTGGACACCAAACAAGTCTTGACTGGTCGACTACATTTGGGCTAATATGGGGGGTGAATGTGTAAATTATATTCTCATGAAAACCTGCCTGAGATCTCAAAGATGTCCGTGTAAATGAAGTGTTCCTGCCCGTTTGAGAACAGCAGCTGTAGCGCTGTAGCTCAGGCTATTCCCTGTTCAATAAAGGTCACCAGTTTCAGTTTGAATGATGCTGAATCTTTACGGTAAATCAGTCCTCAGACTCTTCTCTCTTCCTCTTCTGCTCACCCACGCTGCTTTGTTCCTGTCTTCAGAACGAAAAGGAACTGAGATCAACAGCTGTGGAAACAAACCGACCCACCCAACTGTGCCTGAATGGTTTTCAGCAAATAGTTCAGTTCATAAATTCACCTTTTCTCTGTTCACAACACAGCAAAGCTCAAACCTGTGTATGGAATACACCGGTCAGGCATAACATTCTGACCACCTCCTTGTTTCTATGCTCATTGTCCATCTTATCAGCTCCACTTACTATATAGGTGCACTTTGTAGTTCTACAGTTACAGACTGTAGTCCATCTGTTTCTCTGATACTTTGTTAGCCCCCTTTTACCCTGTTCTTCAGTGGTCAGGACCCCCATGGACCCTTACAGAGCAGGTACTATTTGGGTGGTGGGTCATTCTCAGCACTGCAGTAACACTGATGTGGTGGTGGTGTGTTAGTGTGTGTTGTGCTGGTACGAGTGGATCAGACACAGCAGTGCTGCTGGAGTTTTTAAACACCTCAGTGTCACTGCTGGACTGAGAATAGTCCACCAACCAAAAACATCCAGCCAACAGCGTCCTGTGGGCAGCGTCCTGTGACCACTGATGAAGGACTAGAGGATGACCAACACAAACTGTGCAGCAGCAGATGAGCTATCGTCTCTGACTTTACATCTACAAGGTGGACCGACAAGGTAGGAGTGTCTAATAGAGTGGACAGTGAGTGGACACAGTGTTTAAAAACTCCAGCAGCGCTGCTGTGTCTGATCCACTCGTACCAGCACAGACACACACAACACACCACCACCAATACAGGGGGTCCTGCCCCCCCAGGACCCCCTGTATTTTGCACCTTGGCCAGATGAGCACTGTAACAGCACTGTTTGTTCATCATGCAGTGTGAGGCTGTTATTAAGGGTTAAACTGAGAGATGCAGTGAATGAACAGTTTCCTCAGAACCTCCAGGTTATTACACCTCTCACAGTTTCACAGACTACAAACTAACTTCCCCTTTCAGTTCACTTCCTCTCACAGCTGATTTACAGCCCCCCACAGTCCTCCTCCTCAGACTGCACGGCTGGGAAAAGGTGTTTTTATTGTAGGGAGAAGTTTTAGATTTGTGCAGGTTCAACACTGCTGTCTAATGTTTATGCCTGCTGCTACGCTGTGGTGTTAAATGTGATTATTTTGTGCAATTAGTCAAGTGCAGTTAACTGGTTCTATGCCCCTGGTTCTGCAGGTTGTCTCTGGCCACCAGGGGGAGTGATTGAGCACAGTGAAATCAGTTTCTCAGCTCATTTGGTATCAAACAATTCAACAATAAATACTTTGAATTAAACAATGCAAAGTAAAAGTTTAGTTTATGTGAACAAAAACAATATTTTTACATCAACTCAAACCTCGTAAACACTCCCAATCATCTCCTGCCCTGATTTTCAAAAAATTATTTTTTACTCTTATTAAAAATATAATAATGCAAAATGTTTTATTTTCCTGTTTGCTGCACAAAAATGGTACCTTATCAAGTAAATTATCTTAAATATTGTCGATGTATTAATATTTCTCATTTTGATGATAAAATACATAACATATTTCTACACTTTTAAAAAAAAAGACGGTTCTTCAAGGGTTCTTTAGTAAAGACAGTGGTTCTGTATAGAACTATGAACGCTCAAAGAACAATGTGCATGCTTAAATGGTTCTTTGCATGGAGAAATTGTTCATCAGACTGATGGAGAACGTGCTGTAGATGGTTCTATTATAGAACCTTATTTGAAAATGGTTCTATATAGCACCAAAAAGCGTTGTTCTACTGTTGCGAGCTTGAATTTGTAAACAGTAGAAGAACAGTTTTTGGTGTTATATAGAACCACACAGCTGATTCTCCTTCAATCTGAAGAACCATTTCACCATGCGGAGAACCATTTAAGCCAGCAAAAGCATGAGTGTTCATGATTCTGTATAGAACCACTGCCTTGGTGAAGAACCCTTGAAGAACCCTTTAAGAGTGACACCATCTCTACTTGTTTGAAGTTTCTCACTACATTGTTAGATAATTTGGTTTATTTTAAGAAACGCTGCCAATACAGTGGGAATATTTTACTTAATAAAAGGACTTAAAACAAGTAAAAAATATCTAAATATAAGTTAAATAAGCTTATATTATTAATACAACCATCTCCAATAAGAAATATGAGATAGATAGATGAATTCAGCAAATAATCAGTATGTGTGTATTAAAGTGTGCAGTAGTGTGTCTCTGTAGAGGACGTGTGTTTATTTACACTCAAATCAACAAAGCATGGAATTGGACCGGGGGTGCCCAAACTTTTGCACACCACTGTTTTATGCTCTGGAAGATCAGAATATTGAGGTGCTGGAATATACCAGCTGTCTGAGTGGTCAGGGAGTCACTCTTTCCCTTTATTCCAGCTTCCATTCTGTTCAGGAGACTCACTTTCAGTTCCTCAAAGAATCTGCAGACACACCTCCAAAGTTCAGTCTTAGAAGCTGGTTGATCATTTTCTGAAGTAATCAAACACATTCAGTGGTGTTGAGGTCTGGACTCTGGGGTGGTCAGTCCATCGTTCAGCTTCTTTGTTTGATGTGTCCGTCTCCTTTTCTCAGTGAGGTTCTTCTTGATCAGCTACACATCCTTTCAGACCCACAGCGCTGAGTCGTCTTCTCACAGTGGAAGGATGGACAGAAACACCTGTGGATGTTTTCAGATCTGAAGCAGCTTGATTTTCTCCTCTCTCTCAGAGATGGAAGCTTTAAGTGCTG